AAAAAACACATAAGGTATATGGAGGAGAACACAAGGAGAAAAGGACAAAGTGAGACGTGTACGTAAGGAGGAAGAAACTAAAACAACGAGAGAGACAAGATGCCAAAGTGTAGCACTACATTTTTTATTTCCCTGTTCAAAATAGGCCATTCCATGTGAGGAGGTTTGCTCCAGTCGCCTACATCCACCAATATAGTGTCTTCATATAGAGCAAGCCGCGAGCCCGCAGGGAGAAAACCATCCCTATTCTGCTGCTATTTTTACAAGGGCAGAAATGAAGCAGAGATAGCAGGGGCAGCTCTTCCAGGCAGCACGAGCCCTGTGAGAGCRAGTGTTAACACTCACAACTACACCAAGCTTGTCTTTTCTCAACGCCAAATTATCACCCACAGGTGARAAAGTCCATTTTAAGCCTGCGCAAAAGCCAACGTGGAGATTAAATATTTGCTGTTCTGATGATGGGCACGTAGGGCAGGCAGGAGGCCTCAGAACAGTGATACGTACTCGTTGCACATCACATAGCCGCTCAAACATACACGCACCTGTAYATATGGCACATTTATACACACACATTCACACACAGACTAGCATTTTTTTCCCAATTCACAGAAGTTTTTGACAGTGTGTGGGACTGGAACAGTGCATTAAAGAAACTAAGCCTGATGACGCACCACCTTTAAGATATTTCGATTAAGGCCAATTAGGATATAAGTTGAGGACAGAAGTTTGACAGCTCCCTGCAGAATGCACCAAGCTGTCTTATTTTCCATCAATCCCAGCTCCAGACAGGCAGAGCATTAGCAATACAGGCCGGGCTGCAAGGCAGTACAGCTTCCCTAGGCCGGCCTTCTTCTTCCAAAAGGGGTCCAAAGCGGCCAAATAAATGGGAGCTGGCTCATTTGCTGGCATGCAGCAAAGTGTCCTGCAAAAGCCTCTCGCTCCCCTCTTCAGCACAGGGGCGGCACAATTGGAAACGGGCTGGATTTAGGGAGGAGCAGAGCCCGGAGCGGGGAGCAAAGCAGCTCCGAGCGGCGCGCAAGGCGGAGGCCAGCGAGGCAGAGCTCATCAGTGAGCTGCAGCATGCAAGGCGCAGATAAGAGATTAAAGAAGTGAGAGTGCAGTTTGCCACCCAGCTGCGCCTTTCAGCTCTCCCAGATTAAAGGGGGTAGGGGTAACGGTAACAACTTCTTACAAAACAGTCGTTTCTGCATCTGTAAGGGCTCCTTGGACTTGGTCAGGCATTTAACAGGTTTCTCCAGTAACCTTTTTTCTGCTCTAGCTCCACATTTTGCTGCTCCCGACAGGTGAGTCATTAGGCATTTCCACCTAAATGCAACAAGTAGGTTCATGTATCTCATTTTTTCTCTGTTATTTTTAGGAATTGCGTAAAGCAAGCTTAATATCTTCTCATTCCAGTAAGGCTTAAAATGACAAGCCCATTGGTGATCTGGTGAAACTAGGTAAATAGGATATAGCAGCAGTGACACTCTATCAAGTGAAAACGAGATGTTAGACTGTACTGCAATATTCTTCTGTCATTACCCAATGAAAACACACYCGCTGTGTGCATGCCATAGAAATCATTTCTTCTCCGTGTCTGAAGCAGTATTCAGCAGATGCATCAAAAAATATGGSATTACGTGTAATCCCATTTGCCAGTTAGGAGAGTCCCATCCCAGGCTGAATTCCTACAGGAGCTGGAACTTACCCCAGGTGGGCATCGCTCAGCAAGCAGCTCCAGCCCTCTAGGTGAAACCCTGAGTGATCAAAGGCGAAAGTTCAACGAGATGCTGCACGGACCCAAGTGGACCACGCTCCACATTTTCGTTCTCTGATGCTTACCTACTCAAAGAGAGTGTGAAAAAGCCCCYCTTTCTTGCCAAGTACAGAGCTGCGGGTACGTGCTCGCCGGCTTTCCCAGCGAGTAATAATGCACCTCACAGACCGCAGTGGACTGCAGAATTCGTTCCACATTTTACTGCACGCAACGGTTTGCTGGTGCAAATGATCCTTAAAATRCTATTTGGAAAACTGCACACTAAAAGGCCTCTTGGAGAAGTTCTTCAAAGCAACGGATTAAGAGCATCATGCACATAAAAATTTCTCTTTTGGGCTAGTTTATTACTTACTTCAAAGGGGAAATTCTAAAGTTTCAACGGTACCGTCACTTAACACTACTGTACCTTTATCTGTGCCAGACTTGTACACTGGACCAATTATTCTGCTACTTCAGCAAATATATATAGAGAGAGATGTATATGTTTTAGTAGTTAAATCTTCCTAATTTATCATTTTCTGTTTCAGCAAATGAAGACTTAGCAGTAAGCTGAGGCAAGAAAAAAAAAAGAAAAAAAAATCCAACTACCTGCCAACCTGCCAACGCTTTCTTCCAACTTTCCTCTTCTAAGTTTCGTTGACTTCTAACATCCTGAAGCAAATTTGGTTTGGAAGGCATCTTTTCACAGATCTTTTTTCGAAATGCAAGAAACAGTTTTTACAGAAACCTGAAACTTTTTAACCAAAAAGCATGGTTCTGATCCCGCCAAAGACTGCGGCCTGAAGTAAYACATGCAGCAACTCAGCTATTTACCGGGCAGCACTTCTTATGTCAGAGCCTGATCCAAAGGGACAGAAAACAGAGGAAAGCAACCTGTGGTGGCATCCAAGCAATCAGCAAGGCAGGAACCGTAGTTTGGAGAGAAAGATGTTGCTAATCATATTTTTCACCCTCAGGACCGCTGAAAACCAACAGACCACCAAAGCAACTATTTCTCATTTATCTCTGAAATAGCTCTTTCCAAAAGATTTTGACAGCCAGTTTTTATTTCCATGCAAATTTACACATTTGCACAAGCTCAACCTAAAGAAACAATTGCAAGACACGGTCCATCCCTCTGGTGTGCTCAGCACACGAGCAACAGGGAAACAAGAAGCCCCCCTCAAAYGGGAGATCCGCAGATGCACAGGAAGTCAGTGCACAGATCAGTGCGTTACTGTATTTTTTAATCAAGTTAACAAGCTCCCAAGAGAGCCCATTAACCCAGAGCTAGACACTGAACACAACACCATGTTTTGTGAGGCGACTTTCTCCTTTATGCCCCAAGATGTGGAACCCTTTCTGCTTTCTGCAGTTCTGGTAACTACTTTGCATCTGCTACCACCAATACCTTCTGTGCAGGTGGCTACTTTAAGGTGCTTCTAGTGCTCTGGAGGCTTCACGTCGAGCTTCAGCACCTGCAGCTGAATTCCCTAGGGCATTTTATTAATGGGAAATGAGAAGGAGATGCTGCAAGTTTTCAGGTTTTGCTGCTATAGKAAAAGGGAGTCATCACAATCTCAATACACTGTAATACAAACCAAGAAAATGAAAGTTAATAGAGAAAGAAACTAATAAATTCCAGCATTTCTAAGGGGGTTTTGATAGTTCTTCTTCACCAAGTCCCTACTACAACATACCTTCACTGTACACGGCACACACTGTGTTCACATACTACAGTGAAGCAAAACAGYGAGACACACACAGATTCATGAAACTAAGTTCCCTGAAGCTGCTGGGTACAACAACACAGYGATTTTTCCACCCAGTAACAGTGAACTCTATAACCTGTATTTCAGAGCCCCAAGTTCACTTTTGGAAATGAGTAATTACTGTAGAATCTTTGAACATCTCAAGGATAAAAATAAATATCCAAAACCACTTTTTCCTATTTCCTATCTTACCATCTTATCACCTTTGAGCAATGTTTTGATTAYTGCCGCATCTCTGTGACCACTAGTGAAAAAAACCCAGACCTTTTTAAGCACGGTACGAAACTGCTGCCTTCCGAGTGCAGCCCAGGAMGGGGAGCTTGCCCTGGCACACAGTGAAAACCTTGGGCCAAAACTCTATCAGTCCCCAGCTGACAGACAAAATTATTCATTTACACAGAAGAAAACAAAGAAAAAGGCAGGAAAAAACCTCCACATACTTTAAATGGCTTGCTCCCCTCTTTTCAAAGCAGGGCGAAAATGATTTTTCCCCCTATCCAGAGAGGAATGAGGGGATTTATCCAAGTGGAAACGACCACCACAGGTGCGAGAAGCAGCAGTAATTCAGCCATCCCGTTCCTGCTCCACTATGTCATTCCTACTGAGGTTAGGCAGGAGAGCCTTCCCGTGACTCCCYGGGACCCACACGGAGGGCAAGGGCGGGAGATGACGGGAAGGCAGGAAGGCGCTCCCGGCCAGGCGGAGCCCAGCGCCGCCGCTCCTGTTTGGTTTAGGTCTTGTGATCCTTAGGGCTCGCGTGGCACCGGGAGCTGTGCCCGCATTAATACGTACCAGAGGAAGGAAATGTTTCACTGGGAAAGCTCCAAGCATTTTAAGCGGGACGYGCTTAAAGAGGAAACACGATGTATGTTTAAAAAATGAAACAATCCGCGGTGCTATTTGCTCAGAACAGAGCAGGCCTGACACGAGCAGAAACAGCATAGTTGAAGGCTACCTTTCCAAAGGGCTTTACTATTATCTGATTTCAAGAAACAAAGCGGGATATTTAGTGTTCTGTTGCAACACATTAAAAGGTCTCTGACTTGAAGTTGTCTTTACCCTGCTGTGAACATTAACACTCCAGGACTACSTAGGTTTGCAAATCCTGGAGCTCAAAATCATCCTTAGTTTTAGCAAATGAATTACAAATTACACAATAAAGCATCTCAATAAACACTTTTTTTTTTCCCCAAAATTAATAAAAAGTAAAGCCAGCTCAGAAGAAAAACAAACAAGAAACAGATATAACAGGGCATTTATTTCAAACACTTATATGCTGCCCTTTGGTAACAAGTGAATGCTAATATGAGTTGAGAAAATAAAGCCACAAATAATAAAAAGGTATTTAATATAACAAGGCAGGAAAAAGGGTCATTTTTCAGTAGTCTGTCCAACAACACCTCAGTAGTTTCTAAAGCAAAAAAAAACAAACTGAGCTTTAATACTTAGGTTTTCATTGGGGTTTTGCTTACCTGTGCTCTTGTGGATGCTCTTCCACATCCTCCTCTGAATTAGCCTGAGGAAAAAGAAAATACAGTGTAAAGATAAGTGTGAACATTGGACACACGCGCTGCTTTTCACTCCTCTGAAGATGGATGCTCTTGTGACTCACTTGCAAAAAGACCTCAAAGATCTAARATTCCTTCAGTGACTCCTTCATAATTCAAATAAGGTGGGATGCTGCCCGTCCACTGCTCGAGTTTCCAGTTCATTCTGSCAAGATAAATGGCTGCTCCAGCATTTTTTCAAATGTTGTTTTAATTTACTTATTTATACAAATGCATCTATCCAAAATTCCACTCGCGCATATCCTTTCAATCTAAAAAACACTCAATCACCCTCAATCTACAGAGGAATGAATTTGTTGCATCTTCTAATTATTTGCTCCGCGTCAGGAAATTTCATTAGCTGGTACCTGAGGAAGACAGGACGCCTTGAAATTCAAATGATGTGGGAATGTCAAAAAGCAAAGGTGAGGGAGCAAACTYCAGCTAAGATAGCAGGAGGCCAAAGCCAGAGCTTTCCAAGGAACACAAAACGCACGGGAGCTGCAAAGCATGAGCTTAAAACACAGCAGCTGAGCTCAGTCGTTGGACTAGGGCAACTTTCAAGATGCACAGGAAACAAAGCGGGGCAGCCTGCAGTTCCAACCGCTCTGAACTGTCAGAGAAAGAGAAGAGCAAACTTCTGAACTCGAGCGCTGGTCCTGCGAGCTCCCCGCGGGACACCCTTTTAAAGCAAGCAGGGAACCGCGTCCCAAACTGCCTCAGACTTCCTAAAGCTGCTGACCGGGGCGGAGAGCAACTTCTGAAGAGCTCGGCCTCATGAATGCGGGGGAGAAAAGGGCAAGGCGAAGCAGCTGCGGCCAGCGGCACCACGAGCACCTGGCAGGCACCCACAGGAGCTGCCAGAGACAGCCCACCTGCAGCCAGCAGCAGCTCAGCTAGACCAGCAGCRCAGTTTACACAGGAGCGCAACCAGACCTGCGACGAGCCTGGCAGGGAAGCTCCGTGATCCGGCAGCTCCGTGAGCTCCCCGCAAGCCTGTCTTCAAAGGGATGTTGGAGACTCGGCACTAACCACCCAGGATCTCCCGTCCCACAGGCGGTTCCTCAGCACAGGCCGACCACGGGGCMCCGGGGACCCCGCGCTCCTGGACACCCGGCGGTCCCCTCCAACGGTGGGGCTAATCCTGCCTCCTCCACCGCCTGCCGGGCACGGAGCACGCGTGCCCTCCGCTCCCCAGTTTCTCCAGGGAGAAGCCAGGAGATTTCCAGTGCAACAATGAGCAGAATGAGAGGACTTCTCATCCACCTCTCCCTAAAACAGCAGTTCTGCTGCAACAGGCTGGCAAGCTACCCTCGTTTCAAATGGCTCGGCTCTGCCTTTAAAGGGCTCAACATCTGCCAGGCACTGGAAACCCGGCATTATGTCATTACACAGCGTTGACTCACAGCGCTTGCTATCTTAGTGCTGACTACCTCTCCGGTTAAGCAACAATGAAGGAATCCTTCCCAATCTACCAGGCAGCCACGGGGTAAAATCTCAGCTGCGTGAGAAGGGACAGGGGGGCAGAAAAAATAATAATAATAGTAGTAATAATAATAATAATAATAATAATAAAAGAGAAAATCATCGACTTGGAGCTACCTTCCCTCCCCTATCTACCACAGGCTATATGTATACTTACACTGAAGATTAAAATAAATAAACATATATATATGGGTTTTTTTTAAGGGAGCTGGAGAGATGGACTCCCAGCTGCCTCCGAAGGGCACTCTGGACGTGGGCATGGGGAATTTCTTCCACGAGGAAGCCCCCCGGGAGCCTCCGTTGTCACAGGAGGCGCGATGCCGGGCTGCCGGTTCGGCGCAATCTGCTCGGCCCGCCGGGCCMGGTGCTATCAGCAGCACCCAGGCGCGCCCCGCGAGCGCCCGCCGGGGAGGCCGTTCCCTCCCGGGGTCTGTGTGGGGCTTTGCACGCGAATGGTGCCCGTCAGACAAATCCTGCTTTGAAGTGGGAGGCTGCGGCCGGCCGGCTGAAGCACAGCTGATAGGACATGTCCCTGCTAAGGACAGGCTGCGGTGTCCTTGGGGCTGCAGATACGCCCGCGACATCAAGGGCTCCTCCAGCTTTTAAGAGCCATTAGCCCTGTGAGCCCCCAGGCAGCACTGCAGAGCAGCCYGGACCCAAAGGGAGAGGAGAGGAGGCAAAAACAAAACAGAAACAAACACAAACTCTCAGAAACCCCTCAGAACCTTTCACCCCTTGGAGGGAAAACTGCCGTATTGGACGGCGCCTGGGACCGACCACRAAGCAGCAAACACTGGGGCATCTCTTTTTCCACGTTTGTTCAGGCCCCTGACACACGGCAGCCCGAAATAAGCACTCGCGCTCATCCCSGAGGTATCTGCGAGCAGATCCAGCGCGCCCGGCCGTCCCTGCCGCACAACCTCGCGCCCGGCCCGCGCGGACGCCCGCCAGGAACCCACCCCTGCAAAGCCCTCCGTTCGCTCCCAAGGGACACACGGAAAGCTAGACACGCACCAACGCGGGGGAGTGACAACACTGGCAATACTCGTAGCAAGGGCCACGGTTCAGCCTTCGTCACTTCACTTTAAAATAGAGACTTAAGGGGCATGGGAGGTTCTCCTCATGGGAGGCTCAGCTGGGGTGCCGTGGCTTCCAGATCACTGCGTGCCCGCAGGAACAGCTCCGGCTTGGGGCTCTGCACCTCTGCTTTGCTGCTCCTGTGGCACGTGGACAGGAGGCCTGGGGCCTCCCTGCGCCTTTCCGCTCATCTTCAGGRAACAACCGCATTTCAGCTCTGCAGCGAGAAAGGGTTTGTGCTGGGAGGCGTTTCAGCCATCACGGGGAAGGGCCTGGCTGTCAAGTCCTCCACAAAGGCTCTCTTCTCCCGAGCATGTTAGTTAACTAGAATTAACAAGTTACAAACAAGCAACACCACGGAATTATAAAGAGTCTGAGCGAAAAYAGCAACTGCTCCCATTAAGTCTCCCTTGCTGGATAGTTGCTATTGCAAAACCTCGCTGGTTTTCCATTCAACTCCCAACTGCCGGGGCAGGCAAGACTCACATTTTGAGCAKTAAGGAGCTGGAATTTTAAAAAAGAAAAGAACAAAAACAAAAACAAAGAGCCAATCACCCTGGAGAAGTTTTGTGCCMTCCCTCGTGCTATAAAAAGGCGCTACAAAAGCCAAGGCAGGAGATCAGGGCTACCCCCACTCTACACCACCTTTAAGAAAGAGGAACTCAACCCCAGGGGCCACTGATATGATGTCAAACGGCAACGTACAGCCCACGTGGACACAAAGGGGAAACRGGAAAGAAAAAGGCAGGATCCCCGGGGCTGCCTGGGGAGGGAAGCCGGGAGGGGGCCGCGACAAGCACCAGCAACGAGGGGGAAGCAGGAGGAAACAGAAGGGAACACGGCGGCGAGGGCGGAGGCCCCGACGCCCTGCGGGTTTGTGCTCCAGAATAAAACGCACAGGCTTCAAGGAGAATAAGGGATGCTGTGAGAGAGCTGCCAGGCAACTGCAAATACTAAGAGGTTTCTTTCTTTTAACCTGGTTTATTCATTCGATACGTGATGCCCATGGGCGATCRAGATACAGACCCTAACTTACATCCTTAAATTCTGCGTGGAGCAAGAAACGCTCAGAATTGCCTTGCAACAGATGATGCAAAGTAAGATAATAATGCAAAGCTCCTGGAAAAGGGGAAAACATCAGACAACATCCATTATTCCCCTGAACAGGGCAAAGGGACCGAGCAGACGTGGCAGCCTCTTCCATCCCCGCTGCAGGTGGCAGGTGGCACACGGACACATCCCGGGAGAGGAGCGTGCAAACCTCTCCTCTGGATTTCTCATTTCCGTATCCAGCCCYGGCTCGGCTGCGCCGCAATCCCTCCTCCTCGATGAAACAGGAAGAACCAGATCCAGGAACCAGGATATTTCCTGTCCCTAAAGCCGTCCCCGAGATGCATCTTTCGGCAAGCGAATGAAGCAACACCTGGACATTCCCTACCTAGCAATGCCCGTCACCTACGTAAAAGCAGTTAGGTTATTCCTCCTRTTAGACCTTTATCATCCCTGTTCCAGTACATGGTGACGTGGAAACAACCCTCCACGCATGCAAGCGAGAGCGCCTGTTACGGCAAGGAGGGGAACCCTGGAGGAATCCCAGTGAGGAATCACCTGGAGGAATCCCGGWGAAGTGGCACTGGGATTCTCCGGAGAGCCAGGCGAGAGCTGATGCCCACAGCCTCCCAGGGCAGAGCAGGGCAAAAGGCTCGACTGCTTTAAGGYGTGCACAGAGCAGGGACAGGCAGCACAGGGGGACCAGGCGCGCTGAGAAAAAATACAGATATAGCAATGCCAGTGGYGCTGCTGCAAGTGAAAGGGAAACAAAACAAAGAGTCACTACGGAAGCCGCCTTGGAGGCGTCCCGGCCACCTCGGGGAGGTTGTGCGGGCGGGAGAGGCACCTTTCCTCTTCCTGCCGAATGCAACAGGCGCCTTCAAACGGTGCCCCGGCCGCAGGCCCGAGGCCTGAAAGCTGCAAAAAGGCCCARGGCTGCAGGGAGAGAGAAGCCTGAGCATGGGGGTGATGTGCCCGGGCTTGGCGCACGTTTTGGTCTCAGAAAAACCTGTTTTTGAGGAACCCAGGCCCTCCTGCCGCAGCGTTAGCTGCATGTGCCTAGATGCTGGATTCTCCAAGCTCCGAAGCGAGCGCTATGCAAAGCAGCCTTCGCCTGCTGATGCTCCCAGGTACCGGTTAGGCTGGCTCCCAGCGCCAGCGCTTTAYCTCAGCGCCTGCCGTGCCTTTCGCCTCTCCCCCGCTGCTGCCGGAACACCACAGCCCCTGCCGTTTCCTCCCGCGCGTGGAGCGCGGCCCCACRGATCCGGTGGCCCCACGGATCCGGCGGCAGCAGGAGCACGTGCCGGGCAGCGTCCCGCTCGCGGGCCTCCTAGGACCGCGGGAGCC